TTTTCACCAAGTTGTACTTTGTTTCAGTAAACAACAGCAATCGTGTTCTTCAATGTGCAGCACGGTCTCTTTTTCCCGGAGGAAAGATAATATTACCACATTAATAATTCTTGCAAACGTGATTGGGAGATAAATTATTTATATTCTTTATTGACCTCCTTAAAGTAGGGTAAGTCCAATACTGTCCATTTAAATCGTTTGCTTGGCGATTAGGAGTCGTAAAATTTTAATCATAGGAATTGCTAAAGAAGTGATCGAGGCCAATTAAGGACTGATATAAATAAATAAAAGCTTCAATTACACCTCATAATCACTTATAAATTCCCCACAAAATGGGATCAGGCTCTACAAAGAAAGAAAGAAATTTTTTGTCATGTGGCGCCTTGACGGAATACATGCATATTTAAATTTGTAGAGTCAACGACGACGGAAAAAGGGGATCAAATCACATGTGAATTACCTCGAACGTAAAGAAAAAGAATTTAAATTCTTTACCATTCGAAATCCGAAAAAGAGTTGATACTCTTTTTTAAGTCACGAAAAAGTGTACAACGAACAGATGAAATGCTAGTTAATAATTGGATTAAAATTATATCTGCTGCTATATAATTTTTTATACCATTAACAATGTAATTTAATCTGGTTATAAAATGTTATTTACTATTAATTTATTCTGGATTATCAATAAATTTTATTAAAAAATTGACACATGGAATTAAGTGACTTAACTGTACGTGTAAATCTTGTGCATAAAACTTAAATCCAGTTATAAATATGCCATCACCTATACATAGGTGATGCCAAGCCGATTATAGTTGCTTTAATTTCTTGCCCCACTACTCTTTCAACTATCAGAAACATTAAGGTCTAAATTAAAGTAGCATTTGATACAATATGATTAAGACTTTTGTAGCTGCACTAGCTCTGGTTGTGACCTTTCTAGTCTTGGAAACTCCTATAGCATCTGCTGCTACAAAAGGAAAGACGAGGGTGACCGTTTTAAGCATAGATGGAGGTGGCATCAGAGGCATTATTCCTGGCACTATTCTTGCTTTCCTTGAATCTAAACTTCAGGTAAGCACTCATAGATCAATTACTTTATCTACGGAGTATATAACTAGGTATTCATACACAAGGTGGATTTAGTATTAAAGTTCTATATTTTTGAGTTATGGGTCAATTTTAGTGAGTTTTGACACCTAAATTTATATTTCGCGTCAAAAATAAATGAACCAGTACCATAAATAGTTACATTCGAAACTATTCATATATTGCGCGCATGCAATGATCCTAGCTCAAAACGCTATATGTGATAGGAACTTGATGGACCTAATGCAAGAATTGCAGACTATTTCGATGTGGTAGCTGGAACAAGTACAGGTGGACTAGTGACCTCAATGCTCACAGCTCCAAACAAGGATAATCGCCCTTTATATGCAGCAAATAACATTACCAGTTTCTACTTTGAGCACGGCCCTAAAATCTTTCCTGCTAGCAGGTTAGAACAATTGACAATATATATCTAGCTAGTGTTTCTTAATTTTCATAGTTTAATTGTTGAACACTGATAGGCGAGTCGAGCATTTCAGATTGATGGGTTCAACCAGCCTTAAGGTTCTTATTCATTGTACTTTTATAATTGTAAATTCACATTGAATTTAATATTTATCGATATTTTAGTAAATTTTCATATATATATATATATATATATATATATATATATATATTTCATGTTGAAAACACTGGGTTTCAGTTCTAACTCATTAAATTGAAGATTGATGTGTCTCAGTGAACGCTTTACTGATGGCAAAAATTTATATTTGATATAGCCGCAACGATGTGAAGAAGATCTTTAATATATTTGGGGGGCCAAAGTACGATGGAAGATCATCGAAATTAGGCAATCTTACGATGAAGCAAACGTTAACTCACACAGTTATCCCAACTTTTGATATCAAGCGCCTCCAACCCATCATCTTCACAACTTCTGACGTACGTACAGTCCTCTTCACCCAATAAAGTTAATTTGTGTCTTACTACGACTGCAACTCTATCTTCTACTTGACAAAAATGATGGCTGATATCATATTTGTGTACACTGAACTGCAGGCAAGAACAACTGTGTCTAAGGATGCTCTACTATCGGACGTCTGTCTTGGTACCTCTGCAGCACCCACCTATTTCCCTCCGTATTATTTTGAGACCAAGGATGCTGAAGGTAAAATACGTACATTTGATCTTATTGATGGAGGTGTAGCTGCAAATAATCCAGTAAGTAGCCATTTCATATATGACATACTTTGACCGGATACGAAATTCAATATAGAACTAAAGATTTTTTCTTTTTTTTATTATGATATATGTCATAATGTTCGTGTGGTTAAAGTTAAATTATTTTCAAATTTAGAATGTTGTATTTTTTTTTTGAAAAGTAACGGAATAGATAAGATCTTTTTATGAATTCAGATATTTGAGTAACACTTTTCTTTAAATCTATTGGCAGACTCTAATGGCAATTACTCACGTTTCAAGAGAAATTAAGACGAGAAAAATGGAATATGAGGATATGAAAACCGCGGACTGCAAGAAAATGTTGGTTCTGTCACTAGGCACGGGTACAGGCACGAATAAAGAAAAGTATAATGCCCGCTCGGCTTCAAGATGGGGCGTACTTGGTTGGATGTACAACAATGGTGCCAGTCCATTGCTAGATATTTTCAGTGATGCAAGTACAGATGTTGTAGATATACATGTTTCAACCATGTTTCAGTCCCTTCACAACGAGAAGAACTACCTCAGAATTCAGGTTTGATATCAGCTTGAAGTATTAAGCATTAATCATCTAATTAACACACACACACATATATATACGGTTTCATGATAATGACATAATAAATTTGTACAGAACGATACTTTGACCGGAGAGGCAGCATCAACAGATATTTCGACCATGAAAAATATGCAGACGCTAGTGCAGGTTGGTAAAGATCTACTGAAGAAGCCAGTGTCAAGGGTCAACTTGGACACGGGCCGCTTTGAAGCAGTTCATGGGGAAGGCACCAATGAACAAGCTCTTATTCGATTTGCTAAATTGCTTTCAGAGGAAAGGAAGCTCCGACGATTAGACGGTGCTTAATAAAATTGGTGACCTAAAGAGTTATCAAATTCATTTTCATTTATATTATGTTTCACTTTGAACTTCAGTTTTTAGCTATTAATAGTAACTGAGAATTTGTTCTTTTAAAGAACACTCCCATATATCTTGATCTATAATCTTTTAAATATTTAGTAATTGATCTATCAAATATCCTTTTAGATTGTATTTTAATGTTTCAACCAGAGGCGGAGCCAGAATTTGAAGTTATTGGGTTCGAAATTCTAGTTCTTTTAAGTTACTGGGTGCTAAATTAAGAATTTGTACATATTCAATAGATTTCTTATGGCAAATATAGGATTTGGACCAAAGTTACTGGGTTCGGCCGAACCCGTAACACGTATTGTGGCTCCACCCCTGGTTTCAACCCCCCAAGCTTTGAGCAATCTAATTATTTCTAGCTGAAAAAAAGTATTTAAATTGTAGACATAAGAAACAACAATAGTAGTAATATGTACCTAAGAAATTAAAATTACAAAAACAAACAATTTTAGATAAAAAGAAAGAAATAGGAAGTTAAAACAATAAAACATGATTCCGGGAGTTAATTAATAACTTGATCATGGATATCAAAATATATCAATTTCAATCCTTCTATTTACTTACTTTGTATTTTTGAAAGCCTGCGAAAGAATGAAAAACAACGTGCAATTAAAATTACGCAATGCCTTTTTGTTTGATAGAATATATAGATGCATGCAAAGCAGTTTAAAAAAAGAGAGAGCATAAGCACAGAGAAAAATTTGGAAGACATGATTTATAAAATGAAATGTGGTATGCCAGCACATCATATAGTATTTTCTAACACATAAGGCGCATTATGCTCATGTCTCCTTTTAATCTGCCCTTTTCACTCACAACTTCTTTATTGTTCTTACAATTATTGTTTATTTTTTTTCTTTACAAACTTCAATATTGTCAACAAAAAAAAACAACTTAAAACCATATACTATCTAGTATTAATATCTTGCTAAAAGAAACTAGTATTAACAACTTTGGGGGCCTGAAATAGGGCCCTTAAGAAGCTTTTGACTGCTTGGGCCTTGAGCAACCCACGCTGACAACCACGAATAAAGGTCTTTTCAGAAGTATTTTTAAAAGTTTGTTTTCGAAAATGAATTGGCGAAAATAGTGAAGAAAGAGGTGTACTATGAATGGAAGCCTACATTGTGTCCAAAATGTAAGAATTTTGGACATGAGCTGCAAGATTGTAGGAAGCTTCACAAGGAAGAAGCAGAAATGAGAGGGAAACAAATTGAGAAGGAGAAACAAGCAGTAGAGGAACCTAGCCAAGCAAAGGGGAACAAAAGGAGAGAAAACATATCCAGTTACTAGGTGACAAGGAAACAACAAAATAAAGACAATGCAATCCCTACAAGGAATGCATTTGTTGCACTTGACAAAGGTGTGAATGTAGAGGATCCAAGACAAGGTAAAACTAGTACTTCCTACCCTAAGGGATAATTAGGTGTGGCTGGACCAGGACATGTGAGGGGTTGGGGGAGGGGGCGTAATCCCCTACCTAATGGATAAGATAGGTTTTTGGAATGTGAGGGGACTCAACAAGCAAGATAAACAGAGAGATATTCATATGTTTATGCATAATAGTGGTGCTGGCTTGTTTGGTCTCCTCGAAACTAAGATTAAGAGAGCCAAAGCTTATAGAGCTTCTCTTAATCTGTGTGATGGATGGTCGTTTACAACTAATCTGGCACAACACCTGTGGGGAAGAATATGATTATTGTGGAAGCCAATGATATTTGATGTATGCATACTAAGAACCACTGATCAACTAATACATAGTGAGGTCAGACATAAAGGAAATGGGAAGAAATTCCATGTAACAATGGTATATGCTTACAATGATATGGCACTTAGAAGGAACCTATGGAAGGAGATAATGGACATCTACAACCACACTCGAGGTCCATGGGCTGTGAAGGGTGATTTCAATAGTGTCCTGCACAAGGAAGACAGGGTAGGCAGTCCAGTGACAGTGGCTGAAATAAGAGATTCCAGGCAATGCTATGATGTATGCTACTTCCAAGAGCTGAAATCAGCTGGTGCCTATTATACCTGGAACAACAAGCAAAGTGGAGTAGATAGAGTACTTAGAAAAATAGACAGAATATTGGTAAACATGGGTTGGTTATCACAACTGCCAACTTCTATGGTTAACTATATGACTGAGGGCTTGTTTGACCACAGCCCAGCTATGATTAATTGGGAGAATGAAAACCAGAGGATCAATAGGCCATTCAAGTACTTCAACATATGGAGTATGGATCCTGAATTTAAAAATAAAGTGGGGGATAGATGGATTATTAAAATCAGAGGAACCAAAATGTATCAACTAGTGGGGAAACTGAATAGGCTGAAGAGAGTTCTCAAACACCTGAACATAAATAAATTTAGTGACATCAAATTGAAAGTAGAACAAGTTAAGGAAGAACTAGAGGAGTGTCAAAAGCAGATTCAACAAAATCCCATCAATTATAATCTCATTGATAAGGAGAAGGAATTGGCAAATAAGTATAGTAGATTAAAGAAAGCGAGTGACCAGTTCTTAAGACAAAAAAGTAAAGTAAAGTGGTTGAAACAAGGGGATCAGAACAACAGATACTTTCACATGTATATGAAGGCTTAACGGAATGCCAACAAAATTCTCTCAATAAAGGACTCTAAAGGCAGTATGGTTACTAACATGGAGGGGATAGCAGGGGCATTTGTGGACTTTTATACAGAGCTACTAGGGTCTACTAAAGAAGATAGAACACATATATGCAGCAATCTGGTGAGAAAAGGCACAATAGTGACAGAGGAACATGTTAATTGAAGAATTCACTGAGAAGGAGGTAAAGCAAGCATTGTGGCAAATCGAGGGAGAAAAAGCTCCAAGTCCGGATGGATATGGTAGTAAATTCTTTAAAGATAGCTGGAATATAATCAGTAAAGACCTTAAAGAGGAAGTACTAGAATTCTTCACATCATGGAAGATGCTAAAGGTAACAAACAACACAGTAATCACAGTAATTCCTAAGTGCAGCCATGCAGAAGTAGTTGGGGACTATAGACCCATTTCTTGCTGCAACACAGTGTATAAGTCGATATACAAAATGCTTTGTAATAGGCTTAAAATCATCCTGCCAGATATAATTTCTGAAAATCAGAGTGCCTTTGTAGCTAGAAGAACAATCATGCAGAACATATTGATTTGACAAGACCTAGTTAGGTTATAAAATAGGAAAGCAGCAACCAAGAGCTGCTTGATTAAAATAGACCTTAAGAAGGCCTATGACTCTATAGAATGGGGTTTTGTGGAAGAGATGTTACATGCACTCAATTTTCCTATGAAGTTCATAAGGTGGATTATGGAATGCATATCAACTCCTCAGTATACTGTGGCTATAAATAGAGGGTTATATTGGAGCATAAAAAGAAAGAGAGACCTGAGACAAGGGGACCCCATATCCCCTCTATTGTTTGTAATATATATGGAATATTTCACCAGAATAATGAAGCTAGTGGCACTACATGAGAGATTTGGTTATCATACCAAATATAGAAGTTTACAGCTTAATCATTTATGTTTTGCAGATGATGTGCTCCTTTTTTGCAAAGGAGAGTTCCACTATGTGATGCTGATGTTGAGAGGTCTTCAGTCATTTTCCAGCTCTTCGGGGGCTAACAACCAATGCAGGAAAGTCTAACATATTTGCTGTGAATATGGTGGCACATGAGATAGAGGATTTGTGTGAAGTAATGGGATACAACAGAGGCAGACTCCCATTCAAGTACTTAGGTGTTCCAATATCATCTAAGAAACTATCAAAAATGGACTGTCAAGTGCTAGTGGAAAAATTAACTACCAGAATAAGGAGTTGGGTTCAAAGAACTTAACCTATGCTGGGAGAGTGCAAATGATCGATGCAGCGTTGATGCATATCCACACATATTGGGCATCGATTTTCATACTCCCCAAAGCAGTACTCAAAAGTATTACAGCAATTTGTCGCAATTATCTCTGGGTTGGTAAGGTGAAAACAAACAGGGTACCACTAGTGGCCTGGGACCTCGTTTGTCGACCAAAACAAGAGGGGATTAGGATAAAGGATTGTGTGGTATGGAATGAGGCAGCCATAGGAAAGTATATATGGGACATAACTTAAAAGATTGAATCTTTGTGGGTCAAATAGATCAACCACATCTACCTTAAAAATATAGATTGATGGCAATACAATGTACCACAAGACAACAGTTGGTATTGGAAGAAAATATGCCACACAAGAGATAAATTTACAGGGGGTTATACTCATGGAGGATGGCAATCACAAACAGGGAAATATACAATCCAAAAAGGTTACCCCTAGTTGAAGGGAAACCTCGACGCATGCCAATGGGGAAGATGGGTCTGGAACAAACAAAACATTCCAAAACACTGCTTCATTTGCTGGTTGACTATGCATAAGAAGCTTCTCACAAAGGATAGGCTAGCTCTCAGAGGAATCAGCTGGGATGGCCTATGTGTACTATGTGGAAATGCACCAGAATCTATTGAACATTTATTCTATGAGTGTCACTTCTCCACGTTATGCATCACTGAAGTACTCTAATGGCTAAAGATAAGGATCACAAACTTTGAAGAATAGCACCTCTGGAAAAGAGTAGCCAGGAATATAGGAGGTAAATTGAGCAGGGAGTTCTCATATGGAGTATTAGCATCAATGAATTATCACATATGGAAGGGGAGGAATGAAGCACTATAGCAGATTTCAGTTCCTAGACCACATAAAGTATGTGATCAAATCAAAGAAGAATGTAGAGTTTGAGTGGTGGAGATAATCAGCAAGCGGAAAAAAGGGACAAGGATAGGAGATGGCTGGAAAAAGTATATAGATAGATAGGAGATAGGCAGGACAAATACTTGTATAGAAATAAGATAACAAATAGACTTACTTGGACATACCTGAGTAAGTACGGGACTTTCTTTATATAGCTAGATGATAGAGTATTTTTTCCTCATTGTACTTTGTTCTAATGATGAAAAAAAAGATTATTCCACCAAAAAACAAAATTGGAAAATTTACTTAGATATATTATAATAGAAACCTATTTACCTCCTTTATTTAGGTTCCTTCTTAATACATTGTATATCTATATTTACAATTTATGTACAAAATCATAAAAAAGAAGAAAAAAGTTAAAAATCCCTTAAATTTTAGCCATTATCGGTTATTATCCACGATACCCACCCCCCATTTCAAATAACCCCTCCTACATTTCCGATTCTTTTCCTTTTCCAAAGAATTTCAAGCCCAATCTTTCTCTTTCTTACTAATCACCCAAAATCTCTCTTTCTTTTTGATCCTTCTTCTTATATAATTCGCCCAATCCCATCCTTCTCTGTATTATTGATTTAAATGGTTTTCTTTTTAATTATAGAAATCTTCCCAAATTGCTATCTCTTCACTAAAATCTTATGGATTTGAATTCGATTTGCAGCTGCTCTCTTCACTGATAGGTAAAAAAATCTGAATTATATGATAATTGTATCAGATTTATTTCAGAATTGTATCACGATTGTATCAAAATTTTATGTGACTTGTAGATGATATATCAATAACCAAAACAATACTTGATACAATACTAATACAATTATAATAAAGTGTTATATTAGATTTTTAGTTTATAGTTATGATTGAAACTTGAAGAAGATGAAGATCATAATTGTATCATAATATTTTAGAAATGCATCGCGGTTGTATTATAATTGTATTTGTATCATAATTGTTACATGAATTGTATTACAAATGTATGATAATTATATATTCATCGTATATTATTACGAGCAGTTGTGAGTTTGAGACCAATTTCACAGTTTGTATCACAAATATATGATAATTGTATATTAATTTATTAGTATTGTATCGGGTATTATTTTGGGCATTAATGTACCAGATACAAGTTAGGTACAGTCGTGTACAAGTATGATACAATTAAGTTTTAGATATTGATGTATTAGATACAACTCAAATACAATAATGATACAATTATCGTACAATTCGTGCAACTTCTTCTTTTCCGAGTTTCAATATGAAATTTCACCTAAAACTAACTCTATACTCGACTAATCTCCCTCAAAATTGAGATATAAATTCCAAAGGATATTTTCAATCATTTGCAAGAATACCCAATCCAAACAAATCACAAAATCTGAATATCAAATTCAAAGCTTCAAAACTTCTTAATGGAATGACATTGAGAATAATTCTAGCAACAATCTAAATGTTTCATGTTCAGTGTTGTCTAGTCTCCCAGTGTCATGACCCGGAATTTTCAACCTCGAGATCGTGATGGCGCCTAACATCTACTTGCTAGGCAAGCCGACTTTATTAAAATAATTCTCCATTTTTTAACAATTAACACAGAGCAATGATATTTAACGATAAATAAACTTAGAATTTTAACACAGTGTTAATAGAAGTAACGCGATGCTAACTACTCCCAGAAATCCGAAGTCACAAGTACTTGAGCAACTAGAATACTACATATATGGTTTGAAATAAAGTACAACTATTTGAGACTAGATAAACAGTAAAATGGAGAAAGAAGGAGACTCTAGGGCTGCGGAAGCCGTGCAGCTATACTTCAAGTCTCCAAATGTGGCTGAATTCGAGCAGACACCACTAGACGTCGTTGGAATCAACACCAGTATCTGCATAAGAAGTGCAAAAGTGTAGCATGAGTACAATCGATCCAATATACTCTGTAAGTGTCGAGCCTAACCTCGACGAGGTAGTAATGAGACTTTGACAAGACACTACGTAAAATCCTGTACAGATATATATACATAAAGTAATAAAAAAAGTAGGATAATTAAAATATTAACTAGGAGGGGACATGTAGAAAGGGGACGATAAGAACGGCAAGTACGAAAACCACCAACTAACCTTTCTCTGGAAAATAATAGTAACGCAACCAATTAAATAATCAACCAAAAGCAACTAAAGCAATGAAATCAATAATGGCACGGCATCACCTTTCATACTTTTACTTTGTCCTCACCATGTAATATCATGAAAGAAAATGGCACGGCATCACCCTTCGTGCTTTTACTCTCAACCTCACATAATATGAAGAATGATGATAAGCAATCATATGCACGGCATCACCATTCGTGCTTTAATCCTCACAACCTCTCAATAGATGATAATGAATGCAAATAAGGCACGACAACACCATTCGTATTTTTTTACTCTTTCTCACCAAGCAACAATACAAATACGAGTTAGCAATGCAAGGCAGGAAGCAATTTCACTTTAATTATAGTGCCATGATAACTAACTCAACTTTTAAAATTCCCAACATCTTTAAAATAAACAATAAATACGAGGCGAATAATTAAAGAAGTAATAATCTAACCTAAGCATGAAAAACATAGTCAATGAAATAACCTAGTACAAAGAAATAATTTCCACCTGCATGCTTTAACCCAATGACAATGCATATGTACTCGTCACCTCACATATACATCATCCCACACACATAATACACATAGCAAATAGACCAACAAGTCATAATCCATCAAGTCAAGGTTAACCACGACACTTACCTTACTCCGCAACTAAATCAATGCTCAACCGTGGC